AAATTTTTCCTTTGAACAGTGTAAATACATCTTTAAACAAAAATATTAAAAAAAAATCGAATTATTGATATTTATAAAAAAATTCAAAATGGCCGCCATCCTTTGACTTTGACACTCCATAACTCCCGAACAAATCATGCTAGGAAGTTGAGGTGAGTATTTGTGACGTCATAGAAGGCTACTCTATTAAAATATAACACAAAAATTAAAAAAAAAAAATAAAAAAAAAAAATTTAAAAAAATAGGCCACTCAAAACTTCTTATGTGGATATCTCGAGAACTACTCATCCTACGAAGTCGAGATTGGTATCGTTGAAGTTGGGAGAGCTACCTCTAATAGAAAATGAAGGAAAAAACAATATTTTCTTACAATTAAAAAAATTCAATATGGCCGCCGTAAGTTTTATCCTGCTCACACTTTCAACACCTATAACTTAAGAACGAATCAAATTATTGAAGTGAAAATTCTTCCTTTGAACAGTGTAAATACATCTTTAAACAAAAATATTAAAAAAAAATCGAATTATTGATATTTATAAAAAAATTCAAAATGGCCGCCATCCTTGGACTTTGACACTCCATAACTCCCGAACAAATCATGCTAGGAAGTTGAGGCGAGTATTTTTGTCGTCATAGAAGGCTACTCTCTTAAAATATAACACAAAAATTTAAAAAAAAAAATAAAAAAAAAAATTTTTAAAAAAATAGGCCACTCAAAACTTCTTATGTGGATATCTCGAGAACTACTCATCCCACGAAGTCGAGATTGGTATCGTTGAAGTTGGGAGAGCTACCTCTAATAGAAAATAAAGGAAAAAACAATATTTTCTTACAATTAAAAAAATTCAATATGGCCGCCGTAAGTTAATCTTTGAGACTGCATAACTTGAGAATGAATCATCGTAGCAACTTGAGAGTGATGTTATTATTCTCAGGGAATGCAGATCTATCAGAAAATACACTAAAAACATAAAAAACAAAAAATCGAAAAATAAAAAAAAAAAAAATTTAAAAAAAATGTTTTTTAAAAAAAAAAAAAAAAAAAAAGGCAACCTAAACTTTACGGACACCAGATTTAAATTCCTCACGAAAGCGACCTTCCTTTCACAACATAATAATTTCCTCCTTTGAGGAAGGTCAGCTACTTCTTTTATATAAAGATCAGTATTAAGGATATTTTTTTATCAGTACATATTCAACGTTCACCTTAATCAGACCTCTTGTAAAGTCTACTGAAGCAAGTCTTCTCGCTCAACTCACACCACGCACACTCCATCAACCTTCAATGAATACCCCCACCATCGTGAAGTCCACAACACTCAACTCTCCACACTTCAGAGAACCATTGCCTTCCACTTCAACCCGCTTAAAATTACCTCATGGAATGGATGAATTATTAACAAGGAACTCAGCCGAAGACAGAAGTGTTACGAAAGATCAATTTACATTACTAAATTTGGAAAAAATTAAAATGCGCAGAAGAATACGTCAGAGAAACATAACAAGAATTCAACTTCCTGATATTCCATTACCTGGAGGACCTCGAAAACCCACACGTCCAGCTCCTATTCCTACTTCCAAGGTGAATAAAGAACTTAGAAAAAACTTGGACAAGCTATGTTTCTGTATAAAGTGTCAGGAGAAGAATCTGGATTTCTTCCAGGATCAGATTTCACAATTCTCTTCATTGACGTATGAAAATTATCGTCTACAATCAAGGTCAATAAATTCTTCATCATAAATCAATACCAGGATACAAACACTACAACAAAATCGAGGAAGCAGAGGTTTTACATCAGCGGGAAGGATCGTGACTGCAATCATGAAACTGACCTTCATGAATATGAACGGAGGAGGGAGCAACAGCGGTATATAAAGAGTCACATCACCTCAGTATTCTTTCAGTGTAAATTGGAGTTCGCTCTGTAAACTCTCTTAGTTAGCGTGTGCCTTAAACTAATTTAGTAATTCCATCTTTAGTGTTCCGTTCTTCCATCATGATTAAAGCCCTGGACTCAAGTTTTCAAGAAATGTTCGTGTTTGAAGTGACACATCAAAGCACGACGAATGACATCATTTCTTTTCTGATTGCGGTACGTAAGGAAGTTATTACCTTTTTATCTCATGTGCTACGAACATCTGGTTGTCAATTCAAACTAAGTCTTGCTTTGGAGTGTGAATATGAACATCTCGTTACAAAAGAGAGAAAAGATATACAACACACAGCTGACATCCTATCATTGCTGACGGAGAGCGATGTCGAAAACAAGTTCGATACTTCTGTCAGTAAAATATTACGAGCGGAGACTGAATTTGAAACCAACAAGAGCCAATGGACTATCCTTACATGCAATCGCCTCATTATCACTCTCTATCGCTTTATCCCTCTTACAGGAGGCCGAAATTGCACGCTAGAGAAGATTAAAAGCTGCAAATCAATTGTGAATCTTGAAGACGGAGGTAATCGCTGTTTCATGTACGCAATATGCGGAAATTTTCTGAAAGCTAAAGATAGAAGTAAAATTATTAATTACGAGAAGAATGCGGAATTAAAAAAACGTTACAAGTGGTTGGAGTTTCCTATGAAGCTGGACAGTATTCCTGAGTTTGAAAAAATAAACAATATCTCTATAAACGTATTTACTATCGACACTTCTACTTCCTCTATTTATCCATTAAGAATCGCGAGGAGGGAACTACAAGATCATAGGGATCTATTTTTCTATGATTCTCATTTTATGCTCATAACGAAATTTGACGCATTTATAAGCTATATGAAAGATGTAAAGCACACCAGAAACGTCTTTTGTAAACGCTGCCTTCAACGCTTCCCAGGACGAAAGAAGAGGGACGAACATTTTGCTTACTGTTCCGGAATCGTCGTTCGAAATGGGAGCCCTGAATCTACCATACCGAAAGTCATTTTGGAGAAGAATGCTGTCACAGAAATTCATTCTCCTCCAGAGGAAAGCTTTAGAATTTGCATTCTCCTTGGTCAAGAAGAGGACGATTATGACTGGACAAGTTTCCGCCATTCCAACATGAGCGTGCAAGATGTGAATCGGTTTGAAAAGCAAAATCCAGTGTTTAACATCAACCTTTTTTCTTTCAACGGGATGAATGCTAACATCATACCACTCAAAACCACTTCTATTATTGATGTCTCCTCTAAGATTCAGAAGGACTTACTCATGATACGCACGGAGCAAGGAACATTTTTCCATATTATTCATGACTTATCTAGACTTCTTACCGCACAACATAGTACTCACAACGGTAAAAGATTTTATTGTAGACGCTGTCTAAGCAGTTACACTTCAGAAGAACGACTGGAGAACCACTTGGAGCTGTGCAAGGACAATCCAATCGGGAAAGCGATTGTACCCCGGAAGGGTTCCGAAGAGAGCATTCTCACATTCAAGAAATATCATCAGAGACAACACATCCCTGTGATACTTTACGTTGACTTTGAGACGTTACTTAAACCGATTGACGAACAATATGGAGCGAATCTTTCTAGTGTTCGCTATCAAAAACACGAAGCTTCAGCCTTCTGTCTCTACACAGTCTCCACCTATGAACCGGACAAACAACCGATTGTCTACAGAGGACCTGATGCAGCACAAGTTTGTTTAAAATATATAGAAGCGGAAGTTGATCACGCCTTCGACTTGTATAAAATAAACAAACCAATGAATATAACACCCCTGGAGAGATTCAAAATATTATCTAACGCAAAAGACTGTTTCATTTGTGGAGGCAAATTCAATGGTGATGCTGTGATCGATCACGATCATTTCACAGGAGAAGTTCGAGGTGTGGCTCATTCAAGATGTAATTTATTATACAAGAGACCGACCTTCGTGCCTGTGAATGCACATAATTTACCTTACGATCTAAGTGGCCTGCTCCAAGGGATGGCAGGGAGTCAACAAGCTATAACCGTCATACCAACAACAGAGGAAAAGTATATCGCAGTTTTTCGAAAAACAACTAAGGGAAACGAATATAGATTCATAGACACTTACCGCTTCATGCAATCGTCACTTAAGAATTTAATCGATATTCAAACTGAAGACACCTTTCAGCATACAAAAAAACATTTTCCATCTAACTTACTCAGTCTTTTACGTCGTAAATGTGTGTATCCTTACGATTATATGAAGTCATGGGAAACTTATGAGGAAACAACACTGCCGAAGATTGAAGATTTCTATAATCATTTGAATAAGGAGGAGCTCACCGAGGAGGATTATCAACACGCTCAAGCTGTGTGGCGAGAATCTAAAGTGAAAAATTTGGGAGAGTACACAGACCTCTACGTCAAGGCTGATTGTTTGTTTCTTGCAGACATATTTGAGAAGTTCCGAAGCACGTTCGAGAGGGAATATCATCTGGACCCTGCATGGAGTTTGACGCTACCCTCGTTTGGATTACAGGCCTTTCTTTCTACCAGCAAAGTAAAAATTGAATTATTAACAGATCTGAACCAGATTTTCATGTTTCATAAAGGTGTGAGGGGCGGTTTCGCTTGCGTCACACATCGTTACAGTGAAGCGCTAAATAAATACCTGGGACACACTTTAACAGAAGGTGATTGTAGCAGACAAATCATATTACTTGACGCCTGTAATCTTTATGGGTACGCGATGGGTCAATATCTCCCAATGCACTCTTTCACATGGATGACGAAGGCGGAGTTGAACACCTTTGACGTAGTTAAGACTAATAATAACGATCCATGGGGATTTCTGTTGGAAGTAGACCTTCATTACCCGAAGACTCTCCATGATTTACATGCGGACTTACCATTCTGTCCTGAAGTTAAAACACCACCCAGATCATCTCAAACCAAACTCTTGGCGACCCTCTGGGATAAGAAGAATTACGTCATCCATAGTCGAGCCTTGAAACAAGCAGTCCAGCACGGACTAATCATAACTAAAATCCATAGGGGAATCAAATTTCGACAACTACCATTCGTTCGAGGTTTCGTAGAAAAGACTACGAAACTCCGACAACAGTCGAAAAACGCCTTTGAGAAGGATTTATTTAAACTTCTGGTTAACAGTCAGTTTGGTAAATTTCTTGAGAGCGTTCAGAAGCGAATGGAGGTCGAGGTTGTTACAAACTCTCAAAGATTTCGAAAAATCGTTCGAGATAATTTTTTCAAAAAAGCTTCGATTTTTAATCGCGATTTAGTTGCAGCCCACCGAAGCAGGAAGTATGTGAAGTACGACAAGCCTATTTTCATTGCTCAAGCTATTCTGGACATCGCTAAAGAACACATTTATCATTTTTGGTATGACGTGTTGAAACCTCGTTACGGAGAAGACATAACTTTGTTACTAACGGACACAGATAGTCTTCTCTTCGAGCTAAGAAATCATGACTTTTACGAAGACATGTTGACGTATATTGATGAATTTGACACCTCTGACTATCCGAGGAATCATCCTGCTTACTCTGAGAAGAATAAAAAAGTAATCGGAAAGTTTAAGGAAGAGTACAATGGCGTTCCCGTGAAGACTTTTGTCGGTTTGCGTGCTAAGATGTATGCGATTGAATCAATCGACGATGAAAAGAAACGAGCTAAAGGAATAAAGAAATCCGTGGTAAAGAATGAGATAACAATCCAAGACTATAAAGATTGTTTGTTTTCCAAGAAAGACTTTACTCACGAACAGAGATCCATCGTTAGTAAGAAACTTGTCATGTACAGTATTAAAACGAAGAAGAAGTCTCTCTCAACTTTTGATGATAAGCGAGTGATCCTACGAGATGGGATTTCTAGCTTACCTCATGGACACTATGCTGTTGAGAATCATCGGAGTTTACTGAAGAGGGTCCACGAGGAACTGCTACAGATGATACCACCATGCATCAAGATGGAGACTTCGGATTGTAAAAAAAGAACGACTAGGAAAAACGGCGCTCGAAGAACAAAAAGGAAGAATACACCGATCGAGGAAGATAAGGAGGTCAAGAAGAGGAGGGTTTTGCGGAGTGAGGAGGAAGGAACGATCAAAGACGAAGATGTAAACACCGAGACAAGTAGAAAGCGAAAAATCTTCGCTGACTTGGAACATGACAACAGCAAGAAAAATAAGTCCTCGTTTCCTGATCATGATGAAGCAGGAAATACTCTTAAACTGGTGAACGAAGAAGGAAAATGGAAGGTAATTAATGATGCAGTGGTGAAACAGGAAGACTTGTTCGAGGTTAAAACCGAGCCTATGATCGAGGAGAAGCAGGAAGACCCGCTCGACTTGTCGATGGAGGTCAAAAAGGAGGTTTAAATACTTAACTAAAACAGCTCAAGAACAACACTTCGTATTCACACCTCGAAGTCTCAAGATGGATACTCAAATGAACGAGATCATACTGGATATGCAAGGATTCCTCGGATCTGACAACCAATTCATCTGCAAAGAGCTAGCGGTGACTTCCTTTTTCGGACATTTTATGGAACATCACGTCTTTCAGACTCCACCGCAAAAAATTTACAAGTCTGCTTGGAATCACATGACGTCATACTCAGGACATATGGAGAATTGGGATGATGGTGACGTACCTCACCATCGAATCTCAGCCATACTCCAGCGAATCATACAAGGAACTTCGAAAATTTACGTTGAAGGAAGAGAAAACATCAAGAACATACTCCAATATTTAAAAACTCATATTCCGCTAACGCAAGGTCGACCGCTACCCAAGGTAATAGGTATAATTGATCCTAACGAAAAGAAATACGAAATATCTTGCTTCCTGAAACATAAAAATTGTGCATTAAACAACGTCGTCAATTTACGGTATCTCTTAGCTGAACCGCACGAAGAGCTTCAAGATATCATAGCAGAAGAAAGGAGAGGGGACATGATGGGAGGTCTACTATAAAGAATATAAAACGAGTGTTTCTCTCCATTTGTATCAGTCACAGCGAAGCAGTCTACGCGAACAAGCATCATGGAGATACCAGTAAAAGTTCAGAAGTCATACTACGATCAGGACATACCATCACCTTCCTTAGCGACTCCAGGAGCAGCAGGAGTAGATCTACATGCTGCTGTTAAGTCTACGACTGTTATTCCACCAAACACCTCCTCCCTTATAAATACTGGATTGCGATTTCAATTACCTCCGAATACGAAAGCTGAGATTAGAGGACGTTCCAGCCTCGCCGCCATGCAAGTGTTCGTTCATAACGGGCTGATAGATCAGGACTTTTTAGGTGAAGTGTGTGTATTACTTTATAACAATTCAGCGATTGACTACATCGTCAAGAGAGGAGATAGAATCGCGCAATTGGTTTTTTCTCCCCTCTATCGACCCATATTCCAATTGAAGGATAAGATAGATACTATCTTAACACAACGAGGAAGCGGAGGTTTTGGATCAACAGGAGTAAGCAGCTTGAAAAACGTCAAACTGACCTTCCCACCTTTATCAATGGAGGAGTTCCAACAAATCCCTCCAGCTATTCTTCTCAAGCTGGTTGATGTAGGAAGCTGTGGCGTTTGGGATAATTTACCTCCAGAGTACAAGGAGAGAAGGGACTTCCAGCTGGAAACCTACTGCCTCGAGCATCCTGCTATTCTCTCTAAAGAATGTGACGTCAACGATGGTCCAACAAAGAGGAAGCGACACTGTCTACAATGTCGAGAAATCCTTGGAGAATCACTTCATCGAATCCCGGTAATCATCACTCCGAGAGCTATATAAGCCGTAGTCATCCACTCAATAGTCGCAGTCGTTTCTTCGCTCTCTACCAGTGACGAACCTCTCCTTCTCGAGCGCCAGCACCAGAGCAACTCGAACGCCAGGTATATAACCAACTCACGACATAGGAATACACGCAGTCTTTTTTCTCTTCGCAAGCAAGAAACAACTCTACCAGTCATGACATTCACAGCTGACCTATCTGGACTCGGTGGACTTAGCGACGTTGATATTCGCCGTTTGTACACGGAGTTCTTAGCTCATCATCAAGGCGTAGATACTACACCTCAAACAACAATGCAGCCTCCCAGCCTTCCAGTTCAACCTCTCGCTAGCGGACACGGACTTGCTGCTGTGCGCCCTCCACGCCCCTTCCTGGGGACGCAGACTGGTGTCCCGCCGCCTGTGTCTGTAACATCAGGTCCGCCCGCGCCCGCGCCGGCTCCGGTGTTTGTAACATCGGGTCCGCCCGCGCCCGCGCCCGCGCCCGCGCCCGCTCCGGTGTTTGTAACATCGGGTCCGCCCGCGCCCGCGCCGCCCGCGCCCGCGCCGCCCGCCCCGTCCTCGCCCGTCACACCTAAATCAGGAACCAGCTTTGACGACAGACCATTAGAGGAAGAAATGGAAATAATCCAAACAACCTCCGGAAAGCGGAAGGCGGAGCAACTGACGGACGCGGAAGAAGGTGTACCTCCAGTAAAGAAGAAACCAGAATACAAGGTGAAACCTATGCTCATCCAAAGTAGATGCTACGATCTCCTAGGAAATGGTAGCAAGAGCATCACGATTGGGTGTGAGTGGACGACTGGGTTTCCTGTGAAGATATTACTCAGTAAATTGGATATGGCGAACAATTTCCTTCTATTGTCAACTGAAGAGTGGTACACTTTGAAAATGTACTTTGACGTAATTGGAGAATATCTAGATGACAGGCAGACACCCACGAAAGATGTGCATCTCAGTACATCAACGATCATGAAATTCCGTTTAGTGTTCCAGAAGCCATCTGTAGTCCTGATGAATCTTACCGGAAAATTCATCATGCAGAAACCGGTGTTTGATCGTTTGAGGCACGGTCAAACTCTAATGGACGCAGCAATCACGGAAGCTGAACAGAAGGCCGTCGAGCTCTTTCAGATAGTTAATGGAGAAAAACCGGCGGAAGGAATGGGTTATATGGAACTTTGTTGGCTGGATGCAATATGCAGGCGCTTCGAGGCAATAAATCTTGGCAATAACGATGCGGAAGAAACGACTCCGTAGATTAATTAATTCCTGTGGATTAGGCCTACCGGGGATACCACGTTAAAAAAAACGCGCCATATATACTCTACCTCAGGAAATAACGACTTCAGTATTTCCAAGGTGGTGTGGAAGAGAGTATCTCCCTCGTGTCAGCCATCATGAAGATTTTAATTTGCGGATCACGGACGTGGATGGATGCTACATCGATAGAGTCTTGTATACGGAGGTGTTTGGTTGTAGCAAGGAACAGAAACGAGAAGTTAATCATCGTTCATGGAGGTGCCAGAGGAGCTGATATGATTTGTGATCGAGTCTGTAGAGAACTCGGTGTGGAAAGGATCATTGTTAATCCTGATTGGGGTCGATACGGAAGTCGAGCAGGTTTCTTACGGAATCAACAGATGTTAGACGAAAACACGGATATAGAAAGAGCCTACGCCTTCTCCCTGAATGACAGCTCTGGAACACGAGATATGATCATAAGAGCGCGAAGGTCAGGGATACCGGTGTACATCAATCAAGGTTAAATCAGGCTTTATAACCAGCGAGCGTCGGAGTGCTTATTCAGTCTACTTCAAGAGAGCAGCAAGCAGTCATGGAAGGTGAATCAGTCCTCGTTAACAAATTACAAGACCTCTTCTTAATAAGAAACACTCTCCAGCCTAGGGAGTTGATAGATCACTTTGAAGAGATAGTATATGCAACATACGAAGAAGATATCGATCAGGAGATTGCGAATGGAATATTCGAGTGGTACGAGTCTTTTCCAGAGGAAGGAGATGTGCAGGTGCTGGCGGAGTTTGAATGTGTCAGGATCCATGATTATTTGTGCTGGCTAGTACGTGTATTGGATGAGGGGTATTTTTCGGATGAAGAAGAAGACGGGTAAAACTCTGAAAGGTTATGTGGAGTAGGGCTATTAGCGAAACCACAATAAAAAAAAAACGCGCCTTGTACTCTACCTCAATGTGAACGCTAGTTTAATCATACCTAAATGAATTACTCTAGTGTCTCAATAAGGTGGTGTGGAAAAGAGTATATAAAGAGCACACCAAAGTCTACTTCTTTCAAATGCTCGTCATCAAGCACAAGAAGAGGACCGTTGGAGGGGGAATAATAAATTCTCTCATCAACAATCTTCCTTTCGAAGTGCACTGGCCTGGGATGAATTATTGTGGTCCAGCTACAAAATTAGAAGAACGACTAAGAAGAGGAGATCCTGGTGTCAACAAATTGGATGAATTTTGCAAGAAACACGACATCGCATACTCGCAGAACAAGGACTTAAGCTCACGACACGAGGCTGACAAAATTTTGAAGGAAAGAGCTTGGGAAAGATTTAAAGCAAAGGACTCGTCGTTAGGAGAAAAGGCGGCAGCCTATGTTGTTACAAACGCTATGAAAGCAAAACTAGCGATGGGAGCTGGCGTGAAGAAGAAGACGAAGAAACGTGGGACTGGTAGTAAAAAAGCTCGTAAGAGTAAACCTCGCAGTGGATCGAAGAAAACTCGCAGAAGCGGAAAGAGAAAAGAGAAGCCTCAAGTACCGCGTGTAATCCCTCTACCTAAAACAGGAGGTTTTTTACAGTACCTCTATCCTTTACTCACTGGATTAGGTCAAGTTGGAAGCGCGGCTAGTACGGGAAAGGAGTTACTGCAAAAAATTCAGAAGTTGAAATCCGGAGGTGCTGTTAAACGGAAGATGAAATTAGCACCCTTCAAGAAAGGATGGGGTCTCTACTTGAGACCGTACGAACCAAAAAACTGTTGAAACGACTACCCAAGAAAGCACTGAGTAATGTGGAATTGATGGATGCTGTAAAGAAACTGGATATCCCACATTTTAGAGGTATCTTCATGCGAGACGAATTAAGCAGGAAGAAACCATGGAAGAGGGAGATGGGAATTGTGAATCTCGATGTCTCCAGCGGACCAGGAACACATTGGGTGGCATACTCGAAGAGAAAATTACCCCTTGTCGTGTATTTCGATAGCTTCGGTCTACGTCCTCCACCCGAGGTTACTCAGTATTTTATGGGTAGTCCAATAGTTTACAACAATGATGTGAAACAAAATTATGATATGAATAACTGTGGACACTTGTGTCTCGAATTCTTAATAAAAGAAGCAGAATATGAAGAAGCCTCTCATTAGTTAACCAACGCTCGAGTCAGGATGTCTACTCGATCATTTACACTCACCGGAAAAGAGTCTATTCTTTCACATCGTTATTTTCCTCCTATTGAATTGAATGAAAACCGAAATTATTCCATCGGATTGACTCACTTCGTCGTCTACAACTCTGTACCCAATATCGAAGAAGGGAACAATTTATTTCACTTCGGAGAAGAAACTATTGTAATTCCTACAGGATCTTACGAGATTGAGGACATAGAAAACTATCTGAAGCAGAAGTTAAGGAACGAGATTTCTCTCAAGGCGAACCACAACACTCTTCGTTGCGAGATTCAAGGTAGTAAGGAGATAGACTTTACAAAACCAAGAAGCATTGGTCGTCTATTAGGATTCGGTCACGAAAAGCTCGCTGCGAACATTCTACATTCTTCAACTCAACCTGTGGATATCGTAAAACTGAATGTGATCATAATCGATTGTAACATCGTATCTGGTGCTTACATAAACGAGAGGGAAAGTCACGCCATCTACCAATTCGCTCCTGTTACTTCTCCAGGTTTCAAGATTATCGAAATCCCGCACAACATTCTATATTTACCTGTGAAGAGGAAGCAAATCGATAACATCTCCTTATCGATCACAGATCAAGACGGACGACTCTTGAACTTTCGTGGTGAGACCATAACCGTTGGATTACATCTTAAGGAGGATGGGATTTGAATTCGATAAATATAAAAAGAGGAGTCACGTTCGCTCCTCATTCACTTCGCCGACGATCGTCAGGAAGATAAGTCCAAAAAGTCGAGCAATTTTGAAACGTCTTGGATACAAACTTAAAAATGAGCGACATTCTTCAAGTTCAAAACGGACCGGTTTTGGATACTTCCATCACAAAAATCAGCGAGCAAACTTTTAATCCGACAAATCCGAACGCTCTCTCCAACAACGATATAATTCATTTCGCCATCAATCAGACGGACTCCTTACCTTTGCTGCATCGAAGTTATTTCTTGATCAGCGGTAGAATCACGGTGGAAGAAACTGTTGCTGCTACAGCTACTACCGCTGAGAAACAAGTCACAAAAGCTGCTCAGAGGACAAAACTTACGAACGGAGGAATTTTGTATCTCTTCAATAGGGCTGAGGTACGAATAGACAATCAAACTGTGGAGTCAGTATCCGAGCCGGGCTTGACATGCATTCCCAAGATATACTCCACCTTCAACGAATGGGATTCTCGTCATTTACAAGTAATGGGATGGGAGAAGGATATCCCATTGGATGCTGACGGTAGATTTCATAACGTCATTATCCCCTTCAGAGTTCTCTTTGGTTTGGGAGAGGATCTACGACAAGTGCTTGTGAATCCGAAAATCGAAATTCTACTCACCCGCTCGAGGACAAACAATGACGCAGTGTTCAGCTCGGCAGCTGAAAATTATACTCTAACCTTGGAACGTATGCAATATCGTTTACCCATCGTGAGTGTGGATGATGGTCAAAGATTGAAATTTTTGAAACTCATCGAGAAAGACAAACCTCTCATCGTTGCTTTCCGTGCATGGGACCTTTATCAATACCCTCTTTTACCTCAAACAACTAAACACACCTGGACCATCAAGACAACAACACAATTGGAAAAGCCAAGGTATGCCATTGTATTCTTTCAAACGAATCGGAGTGGAAATCAACTCAAGGATGTGAGCAAGTTTGATCACTGCAATCTGAGGAATATAAAGCTACTTCTGAATAACGAGGCATATCCGTATGAAGATGTGAACCAATCCTTCACCAAGCATGATTACAATATATTCTACCACGCTTACTGCAGTTTCTCTTCGACCTTCAACGCTTTACCTGATCCAACTCCACTTCTAGACATTGAAAACTTCAAGAATAAAGCTCCACTTTTCATCATCGATTGTTCCAGACAACGTGAGTCTTTGCAGCACGGTCCGATTGACGTGAAACTCAACTTCGAATCAAACAATAATTTTCCTGAGCACACAACAGCGTTTTGTATACTTATTCATGATAGTGTTTTCGAGTACAGTCCTTTGACTAGCATCATTCGAAAACATGAAGGTTGAAAGACAAAAAATTCGCTTACCCATCCGAAAGTTCGAGTTTGAGGGTGGTTGTTTGAAGAAGAAGAGACATAGCAACTTGTTACCGAATGTTATCAGAGGACTGATCGTTGGACCAAGTAATTGTGGAAAAACAAACCTCATGCTCTCTTTGCTTGTCGATAAGAATGGAGTGAAGTTTGAGAACGTCTATCTATTCTCTAAAACAACGGATCAACCGAAATACAGTTACTTAGCGGACATATTGAAGAGAGTTAAGGGAATCGGCTTTTTTCCTTACGTAGGTGTTGTACTTAAACCGGAGGAAGTAAAAAGAAATTCAGTTTGTATTTTCGATGACGTCATAACGGACAATCAAAGTCCTATCAGAGATTTCTTCGCAATGGGTCGACATAGAGGACTTGACGTTTTTTACCTCGCTCAAACTTACAGTCGCATCCCGAAGCAGTTAGTTCGTGATAACGCAAACATGATCATCCTTTTCAAGATGGACGAAATGAACTTGAGACATGCATACTCAGATCACGTCGCAGCAGACATGTCCTACGATGATTTCCGGGAAATGTGTAACCTCTGCTGGGGAGAACCTCACGGCTTCATTTTGATTGACAAGGAAAATACAAAGGAATCTGGAGGATATAGAAAAGGATTCGATTCCTATATAAGACCCTGACGTTCACCTTTTCTAATCAAACAATATGGAGAAGCACTTGAAGGAGGAAATCATCAAAGCTTCGGATTCCATCCGAAAAAAATTTCGTAGCCTTAAAAAAGATGAAAGCCTGGAGTTGGAAACAAACGAGAAACGCTTGGCACCTTTAGTTTCTCCCTTGAAAACGCTGATCGATTTAACTCAACAAAAGGATCATGAAGTTAAAGTCGAACCCAAAATCAAAGTTGAACCGAGAATCGTGGTTTCAAAAACTCCACGTAAAAGGAAACCGAAAGAATTTGAAGCGGACTCCTTGGAGGAAGACAACGAGACTTCTGGGGAAGAGATTTATGAAAGTCTTGAGGAAATAAATGATGATTCTCTTCAGAAATGGAATGATTACACATCTACTCTTGGACCTCAATCCAAATCGTATTTGAACGGAAAAGTATTCAGCGCTCAACCTGGACATTACGACTCTAAATTCGGTGTCCGAATGGATACGAAAAGTAATAATTGGAAAATTGGAACCAAACCTATTGAGTTCGATAAAAGTGATACCATACATATCGGAAATTATATGGTTCAAGGTACGCCCGGTCTCTTTGAACTTCTGTTTAAGAGCATTCCTGACATGAACAAAGTGAGAGAAAACGATAAGGAAGTATATAAACAAATCCTCGAATTAACAAACGCACATTTCCAAGAGTACAACCCTTTGAAGAAGATCGCTAGCAGTAACAGCTATAAATATAAAAAAATTATATCACCTCTTTTCAAAGAACCGAAAGGGAGTGGATTACTTCCTGTAAATGATAACAAGATAGATTACATTCGATGGAACGATCCTAATGAGTTAGTGTCAAGACTCGAACTTTTAATAGCATCTCGAGAAGCTGGGAACACCGCTCATCTAGCAGAGATAGCTTCGATTGAGGAGGAGCTGCGAGAAGAAAATATCATACAATGAAGTCTGTCGATAAATTCGGACACTACAAAGGAATTCAAGGAAGAGCTGGTCCTCCTGGAGTTGGTTTTGTTTTGGATCTAGCAGGTGATTACGACATGCAACAAAAACGCCTCAGAAATGTGCACAGCCCGGAGACAGATAACGATGCGGTTAATAAACACTTCCTCTACTCGAAACTTGCTTCATTCCGTGAATTCTTACGAAATAAGACTTTGAATATTTTCGAGGGAGATGAGACTTTTGACGTCAAGAATAAGCGTCTATCAAATGTTGGAGATCCTGTGGAGTCCTCTGATGGTGTGAATCTTACATATTTGATGAAGAAATTTGATGAAACCATACTGCTCAACTCGGAGAAGAACGCCTTCAACGCTGGTGGTTTGTCTCTCACGAACCTTAAAAAACCCACGGAAGAATCGGAAGCTGTAAACCTCTCCTATCTAAATGAATATTTGCAAAAAACATTACAGGTGGATGCATCTAATAATGTTGATGTTGGAAATCGTCGAGTAAAAAACCTATCAGATCCAAAGGAAAGAAATGATGCTGTCAACAAGAGTTTCTTGAAAGCATGGTTGGAGATCCATGGTTTCGTTATGCAACGTGAGTTGACTGACGCTGTTATCAATCTGCGGAAAGAAATTCATAATCTCCATAAAACAAAAGCGAATCCCGCCTCCGTTTCGAAGCAACTAAATAATATAGAGGACAGTTTCATAAGAAATTGGCGATCCGCAGTTTTGGATGAAGGAAAAAAACAGATGACGTTCGATGATAGAGAAAAAGCACAATTTAAAACACACTTCGCAATCGATCCTGATATTATTGACTCATACTTGGAAAAAACTTTAGATAAAGAAACATGAGTAAAGTTGGAGTGGTAGAGGAATTACATAAACAAGCAAGAAGAAACTTCCCGAGGCGGTATGTTACAATCAAAGGACTCAACGATCTTTTCCAAGGTGATATTGTGGAGATGAGACCATATGCATCAGAAAACGATGGTTACAACTACCTTTTGACTATGATCGATACCTTTACGAAAAGGTCTTGGGCGGTCCCTTTGAAAACAAAAACTGGATTGGAAGTACGTGCGGCTGTCAAATCAATAATTGATTCCTTGAAACAAACACCGAAGTTCTTACAAACAGATATGGGCTCCGAATTTTTTAACAAACATGTTTCCAGCTTACTCAAGGAACATAATATCAAACTCTACGCATCTTTCTCACCTCTGAAGGCTAGTATCATCGAACGCTTCAATCGAACACTTAAAACCTGGATGTGGAAAGAGTTCAGTCTACAAGGAAATTATCGATGGGTGGATAAGTTGAAGGATCTGTTGAAAAAATACAACTCTCGTATTCATAGGACTACCGGTTTGGCTCCGAATGCAATCAAGGAAGAAAACGAGGCTATCGTATTGGATAGATTAAAAAAGAAAAAACTTCCTGTAAAGAAGAAAAATAAATTCAAAGTAGGTGACCCCGTTCGGATTTCGAAGTATAAACATATATTCGAAAAGGGTTATACCCCCAACTGGACTACGGAAGTTTTCGTAATCGATGAAGTACAGAAGACTCGACCAGTCACATATAAGCTGCGTGATTATCAGAATCATCTCATTCAAGGCGGATTCTACGAAGAGGAACTACAGAAAACGAAATTCAAAGATACTTACCTGGTTGAAAAAGTCTTGAAAAGGAAAGGCGACCAAGTCCTCGTCAAATGGCTGGGTTTCGACGATTCTCACAACCAATGGATCAAGAAGAAGGAAATAGAAGAATGATCAGAAGAATGTTCATGATCGTACTGTGTCTTACTTTATCTGCAAGCTGTGAGGGATGGGTGGACGAATACTTCAACGTTAGTGATAATGAAATCGTTAAAAATGAAGCTATCAAGTGGATCACATTGTGTACCGAAAAAGCAACAAAGTGGGAAGAAGGTGTTCGTGTACGGAAAATGGATGAAACTCTGTGCGCAGAAAACAAGAAAATAAATACCTGTGAGAAATCAAATTCCTCAGAAAGGGTAGTGGAAGAATATCTAAAAAAATTGATTCAAGATTCGAAAAATTTATGTCACGATTCTTTCAACGATGCAGTAAACTTACGAGTAAATCATCTAATAGAAAATTCAACAAACATCTGTAGTGGAATTTTGAATGAAGAAAAGCATATCACTTGTAGTATAGTGATTATATTAAGTTTTATTTTTAGCGGAATATGTATTATGTGTGATATATTTCGTATAAAAAAAAAACTTCTAACTAAAAAAAATCTTTGGACTCCTAAAAAGTGTCATCAAGTATCAGAAGTAAATGTTGAAGAAGGAGTTGATATTATTGAATATCCTCTTGTTTGAAAAAAAAAAAAAAAAAAATAATATAAAAAAAAATAAAAAAAAAATGAAAAAAAAAAAAAAAAAAAAAAAAAAAAAAAAAGATAAAAAAAAAAAGATATAAAAGGAGTACCCTCTTTCAGATTTTCTCATTCGCTTCCTGGAGCTTAAAGGATCTTGATCGTTGGAGGAGTAGAATCAAAAAATGAGTCTTAAATTTCTGAGGAGGTACGTCAACTGGAACTTGCTTTTGCAGGATCCAGTCCTGACTTCCAAAGTAGCTGAAGCTGGTAAATCGGACAAATTGTCATACCAGCTCGTAGAAGAGATTTCATCATACATCGACTTCGATGAAATGTCAAATAATCCTAACACTCCAGAAAATATTCTTCATAACCACTCGCATCGATTAGATTTTCGACGTTTGCTTCTAAACAACTGTCATCTGTCAATAGACTTTATTCGTTCTCATGGTGTGGCATTAAATAAATGTTGGGATTTAATTTCATCAAAAATTCTTCTATCTGAGAAAGAAATGGAAGAATTCAGTTATCTTCTAGATTGGAAAATTGCATCACGTTATCAAAAAATGTCAGAAAGGTTTATCAAAAAATTCAAACATAAAGTGGATTGGGAAAATATTGTCAAATATCAAGACGTGTCGAATGACTTTATTCTTGAAAATTGTCCCAAGGATTAGTTATATGATACTTAGAAAGATGTTTCTTTTGTGATGTAAACTAATAAAATCATCTAGTGGAATAGGCCTACTGGGGATACCACTTTAAAAAAAACGCGCTGATAACCCTACCTCTATGGTGGTGTGGAAACGGGTTTCTCCATAGCAAAAGATTGTGCAACAGTGTTGTCACGATGTGTAATGTGTTTTGACGTCTTTTTGTTGGGGTCTCTGGAGTATTTTTGCAGGGGTCTCTGGAGTATTTTTGCAGGGGTCTCTGGAGTATTTTTGCAGGGGTCTCTGGAGTATTTTTGCAGGGGTCTCTGGAGTATTTTTGCAGGGGTCTCACTTTTTCTAACTACTACCTTAATCTAAAAATCATAATAAAGTTCATGCAAAAATAATGTTAATGTTTTTCGGGGCAACCGGTTATTTCAGTGTAAAATATTTTCAAAATTCCACCCCCAGAGATCCAATGTACGAATTCAGATTCGGTCACTATATCCCCACAAAGAAATGGTTGAATTTCTTGAAAGCGTAATGCATCGACACGATTTTCGTATTTTCTTTTAGCAATGCTCGATTCTTTCGCCCCTCAGAGAGTGGGCCATTTGTTGGACGAACGAGCATTTCGATTCCAAAAATTTGTAGTACACCAAATTTTGCTAAGAAAACACCCCGACTATCCGTATCGGCTATACGAGGATATCGTGGATAATACTCCGTGGACCGATTCAAATTTTGAAAATCCTGGTAAGACGTTCGATACATATCTATGCGAGCTGAGGAAGGAACCATGGTATAGAGAGCTGTGATATCGAAACGTCCAAAATACCCTTTCATTCGGACAAAAAACTTTTCAAAAATTACAAATAAAAAGTTGAACATTCCATCTAAAGCTACCGGAGTCGACTACCGCTCAAAAAAGGCCAGTTTATCGACTGAAGAAAGCCTACCTATACCTATAAATTACCTTATTCCCATAGCATCCAAACCAAACCTCGGAAAGGGATCATACTTTTTTACATTAAAAAAAGCACTTTATAAATCACGTATATTCAGTGTACACATGCCCACGTTTTCCATAGGGGGCTTCATTAGTGATGGTGAGTCTCATCTATTGAACCACCATCAAATTTCATCGTTTACCGAGCCTTTATACCAATGGACTAATTATCATGGCAAAAATATCTTGCACGAATATTGTAATAGCCCGTCAAAAGATTCATTTTCATTCCAAACTCTAGTCCAATTGTCAACGAGGACGAAATGTAGAAGGATGATGGCAAAGAAGACGCGGTAAGACAACGATTCCAGAGAATAAAGAGCTCACTAAAAGAGCTCGAATATTATTTCCGTCTAAATGATTTAGCGCGCAACAAAATAGCCCCATCCTCTAGGAAGCAAACAAATTCTCGGTACGATTATATTCATATTTTAGATTCATTATGCTTGTTCGCTATATTCGTTATGTTTGTGTTTTTTAGAGTTCGCTAAAAGAGCTCAAATATTATGCTCCCTTGTCCCAATTAACGCGTAATGAAATAGCGCAATAATCAAAAAGACAAACAACTTCTGAGTATGATTATATTCACAGGTGTTATGCTAGAAATAAATATTTAATGCTCATAATACTAATACCCTGAATTTATTAAAACAGGATAGCAGGATATCTAGTCTAAATTTTATTAAATCAGAAATATGAAATGGAGTCAAAGAACAACTATGAAACCTATACTTTATTATGTATGGCGGGAGAAAATGATCTAGTGAGACAAAGGTTTAACAAAATAAAGAGTTCGCTAAAAGAACTTAAATATTATACCCCCTTATTGCAATTAGTGCGCGATAAAATTACGCAATATTCAAAAACGCGAACGACTTCAGAGTACGATTATATACATAGGTGCTATGCTAGAAATAAAAATTTAACAAGAATTACTGATCCCCTGAACTTATTAAAAACAGGATAGAAGGA